GGGGGGGTTAAATCCCATTTTTTGCTTCCAAGACCCAGAGTCTGTGCTGGTAAAAACCCCTCTGCATCCCATGAGGTGTTATTCAAGTCGCCCATAGGCTGTGGTAAAAAGCTGCTAGAACACGTTTCCATTACTCGGGGGTAGAACCCACTTCCTGTTTCGTCTCCATTAAACCCAGAGCTTTGTCTTGATTCAAGAACAAAACATTTGAAATGTCAGATTGGTCTGAAAAAAACAATCCCATAAATTCTTCGGGATCTTTAATGATAGATGTTGTTAACATATTGCTTCTCTGGGAAAATATGCCCCCCAAACTGTTCAAGAAAAGCTTGCACACCTTTATTTAGGCTTTGTTGACCTCTATTCTGTCAGGGTCAAGTGTATCTGGTCTTTGCTCTCTTGATCAGTGACTGATGCAGGAAACCCTGACGCCATTTGCTTGCCTCTCAGAAGGTCTTGATGTACTCTTTAAAAAAGAGTGTCTGATTTCCTGGGAAAGTTCCACACTTCAAAGACTTTGGCCACACGATACCCCTTCTCTATAGCCTTAGATAATTCAACGGTGACCCATTTTATTTTTTTATTTCACCTTTATTTAACCAGGTAAGCCAGTTGAGAACAAGTTCTCATTTACAACTGCGACCATACACCATACACCGGTCAGGGCTCTTTCTTGATCTGAATGATCACAAGGCTTTTCCTGGTTGTTGTTTTTGTTAGGCCTACTGCTGCTAGGTAGCTCTCTCTCTGCTCTCCCCCTCCCCTCTGTCTGTCCTTGATTGCAGGAGTGAAGTCTGGTGTGCGGGAGTCAGGGTTCCAGCTGCAGCTCATTCACCATAAACACCTCAGCCTTTAAGACCCGGTCAAACTTGCCACTCATCGTCAGATCATAGTCAAGACGACCATGTTAGTCTCGCTGTCGACTCAACCTGTTTGTTTTCGCTCTTTGTGTTTTTGGCCTGTTCTATTTTATTTTCTCCTGTGCCACAGATTATTGGAACCTGACTCCTGCCTCCGCTTCACTCCTGCCACCACCATCCTGCTTTCCACTAACGGACCTCCCTCTTGGACTCATCACGGACACTAGGACATTACGGTACCACCCCTGCCCTGACCTGGATCTGGACTTGCTCTTCCCCTGCTATTGGAAACCTGGACTATTTAACATTGTAAATAAACCTGTTAAACCTTCTCTGGCTTGGTGTAGTTGTCTGCATTTGGGTTCTATCCAGTTAAATCATGACAGTTTTCACTGCAGGTGCGACAAAGGGGAAAGAAAAGTTTTCCTTGAGGTCCTTTGTAAGGCAACACTGACAAAAACAAGCCCCGGGGAGGGTAAACAGATGCTTTTATCAAAGCAAAATAGTTTTGTGGTAAGTCAAAGTCACAGTGAATAATTTCAGGATGTCCCAAAGGATAACAAGAGGAACTCATTACATGAGGATAAAGGGAAGTATAATCTATATATCCAATTTTCTCATCAGCTATATAACGTAAGGTCAAAGCATTGGTACGACCCCCAAACAAGGCCTTGCGGGGCTCCAGGGGTTGGGGTCAAAGGTGGAAAGGAAAGCTGGAACATGAGGATCAGACCTTGTGAGTTCTGTCCCGTCGTACTCCCACATCACCTTCCCTTTCACCCCATCAGCAGCCTGGAAAGAGGACCACTTGTCTTGGAACTCCTGGTACATTTCCCCCAAAGTCTTCTGGGTTAAGACACACATGGCCTGGGGCAGAAAGCAAGATTTACAACCATGGAAGATATTTTTATTTTATACTTCTGTTTATTTTAACAAATACTTTCTTAACACTTTTTTTTCTTAAAGCTGCATTGTTGGTTAAGGGCTTGTAAGTCAGCATTTCACTGTAAGGTCTACACCTGCTGTATTTGGCGCATGTGACAAATACAATTTGATTTGATTTGATCAAGGGATTGGAAAGAAGATAGGAATCACAGGATATAGAATTGTGAGCTATAAAAGTGAAGTTTTTGTACTGGGGTTTTCAGAAATGTTTCAGAAAGAGTAGTGTACATTTGGGGTCCTCTGCCGACCACTTTTCACCCTTGAAAGTCATGGTAGATACAAAAATAGGCAGATGAAACCCTGATTGCTGATTACTCTCAAAGTCATAAAACACACATTTCTCTGAATGTTCATCTTCATCTGATGGTTGAAGGTAGCACTCATGTTCCAATTCTTGAGCCACTTCTGGGTTTCTGCTTTTCAAAGGCCCTTTACAGATAGGGCAGTGTAGGATACCATATACGTGAGGTTGGGTGTTGTCTAATTTAAGGGTGGGGTTAGCTCGTTAATTTGTTTAATTAAGGAGCTAAGTTCTAGGAGTACCTGTGATAATGTGTCCTCATTTGTATGAGTTAAAGGAGGTGTGTGTTGTTGTGTAGGGGTTGGTCCTAGATCCTTCATTTGTTTGATTAATGAGCTTAGTTCTAGGGGTATTCTAGAAGTATCCATGTTACATACGGCTATATCGTTTGTTTGGGAGTTTTTTAATCAGATTGCTGCTTATCAAACTTGGCATGTTTTTCTTCCAGAAGGCTATGTCTTGGATGTACCGACGTTTTAGCAAAGCAACCATACGTGTGTGTAACTGGACCTTTCTGGCTTTCAGAGCCCTGTAAAAGGCTGTGAGAAACCTATCTTGAAGATCTATATAGATGCAGTAATCAGTATATCATCATTGAATGTATTGACCTGTTTAGATGCAGTAATCAGTATATCATCATTGAATCATCCTCCTCTTCCTCCTCTTCCTCCTCTTCCTCATCTTCCTCTTGTTGTATTGGGTCTGCTATGCTTGTATAGGCCTTGGAAGAGCCCAAAAAAACAAAACAAAAAAATATATAATAAATAGTGTATTAAAATAATAAGAAATAAATTATAAAAATACATAAGAACAAATATTTATTTTTTAAATAATAAATATTTTTTTTTTAATGCTTTTTTTAAACAGTTAATTTATTATATGTTAACATATCAATATATCCTAACTCACTGTTTCTGTTTCTCACTGCTCGGACTTGGGTTACAGGGAAATAGCTGTCTGTTTGTTGACTAAACCTGTTTTTCTGTGGAGTCATGGAAGGCGTGTTTTCTTCCCACTGTCCATTGTCTGTGTCTGAGTCTTTTTACAAAAATAATCATCATAATATTGTTTTTAACATAGTCATTAAAAGTTATAACTATAATAAAACAGGCCATATCCATAAAGAGCATGTTCTTCAATCCAGTCCTTTTCAGACCAATCGTTCTCCTCGGTCAAAGGTGAAGCCATTCTGTCAACTTGAACTATGTGTCTGTGGAGCCGTGCTGGACTTTGAAATACTGTCGGTGCTCTATTATATACTGAACGCCTCGGGGGGTTTGGAGGCGTGTCTAGGTATGACAATCCCTCTGTTCTTGGGTTGGTTTGAGTTTCGTCTATGTCAAAGCCTGCTGTACAGAAAGAGAGGAGAACGTCGTTTTCACAATCATTCAAGCACTCATTCAACGGAGGAGTCCATAATGCCTGGGTTGAACGCTGTACACGCTTCTACATGGAGTGTCAGCTGTAAACACAAGATTAGGTTTTTTTAAAACATAGTACACATTTTGTTTATTGCTTATTATATAAAGATTATTACCCATTTAAATGTTGACTCACGTCTAAAATACCTTGATGGCGAGTGACTGAGTAAAGATACAGCTTCTGTCTGTTGTTCCTCAAACTCGTTATCCTCTATAACAATCACTTCTGTTTGTGGTGTTGCTTCTTGATCCACATCAATGACTTCGGGTACCTCCTGAATAAATGTAGGGTAACCTGTAGAATTTACATTATATTACAATATACATTTTTTACTTAAAAATACTGATATTTTACATAAAATACAATATAGTAATAATATGAATTAATAGAAAGGTTCAGAACTTTTGTAAAACATCACAGTACAGTAGAAGAATATATGGCAAATAGAAATCCAATATGGATGGTGTTAAGATATAGATGGGAGGTGTTGAATGGAGTTGAAGGATGGGACTAATAACAACTAACAACAAATAATAACAAGATAACTAATAACGTAAGCATACTGTGTCCATAATAAGTATATACTGTAGGTTATAGGTTGGGAGCTTTTTGGGAAAGAGCACAGTTAGAAAGATATGGCATATAGAAGCAAACCTGGATGGACATCATGAAAATGATCAGAGAGGTCGAGAGTAAAAGAAGTACAGGAGCAAAAACAGAACAAATATAATTATTGTAAAATTGACTGTGTCCATAAAATGTATATAGTAAATATAAGCTGGAAGTAGAGGCCTAAGCGTTGTTGTTCACTAGTTTACTCCAATTAGGGAAGGGGTTGGAAAGTAATAAAGGGGAGTATATATTTAAAAAAAGGATATGTACTGTATGTATGTACAGTGAGGGAAAAAGTATTTGATCCCCTGCTGATTTTGTACATTTGCCCACTGACAAATAAATGATCAGTCTATAATTTTAATGGCAGGTTTATTTGAACAGTGAGAGACAGAATAGCAACAAAAAAATCCAGAAAAAAGTATTTAAAAAATGTTATAAATTGATTTGCATTTTAATGAGGGAAATAAGTATTTGACCCCTTCTCAATCAGAAAGATTTCTGGCTCCCAGGTGTCTTTTATACAGGTAACGAGCTGAGATTAGGAGCACACTCTTAAAGGGAGTGATCCTAATCTCAGCTTGTTACCTGTATAAAAGACACCTGTCCACAGAAGCAATCAATCAATCAGATTCCAAGCTCTCCACCATGGCCAAGACCAAAGAGCTCTCCAAGGATGTCAGGGACAAGATTGTAGACCTACACAAGGCTGGAATGGGCTACAAGACCATCGCCAAGCAGCTTGGTGAGAAGGTGACAACAGTTGGTGCGATTATTCGCAAATGGAAGAAACACAAAAGAACTGTCAATCACAAAATCAGCAGGGGATCAAATACTTTTTTCCCTCACTGTATGTGTGTATGTATGTGTGTATATATATATATATATATATGTGTGTATGTATGTGTATGTGTATTATCTCCCGAGTGGCGCAGTGGTCTACTAGAGATCCTGGTTCGAATCCAGGCTCTGTCGTAGCCGGCCGCGACCGGGAGACCCATGGGGCGGTGCACAATTGGCCCAGCGTCGTCCAGGGTAGGGGAGGGAATGGCCGGCAGGGGATGTAGCTCAGTTGGTAGAGCATGGCGTTTGCAACGCCAGGGTTGTGGGTTTGATTCCCACGGGGGGCCAGTATGGAGAAAAAAATAAAATAATGTATGCATTCACTCACTCTGGATAAGAGCGTCTGCTAAATGACGTAAATGTAAATATGTGTGTGTGTGTATGTATAAAACATGGGGGACTGGAAGTGATGCAGACAATTACATTGATGGAAGATACAATCTATCTGCAATATTAAGCTGATCTACCCCCATAAAAAAAACAAAGAAATAAAATAATCATATTAATTACCTGAAAATTGTATGTCATCCAGTCTTAAAATGTCTGCAAAAACCAAATGTTGAAATACTGTTAAATATTTAAAAACCATTGTTATCCATTGAGTGAATTGTTATCCATTGAGAGAGAGATATAGAATAGTATACTATCGTGCTGGGTAATTTATTTCTACAACTGTGATGTAACTCAACATCCACTAGGTGGAGCCAGTGGTCCACTCTTGATTAGACACCACATAAAATAGAAATTTGTTTGGTAAAAACAGTAGGATAAATACATATGTAGGTAGATATATATATATATATATATATATATATATATATATATATATATATATATATATATATATACATATATATATATATATATATATATATATATATATATATATATATAATATTATACTAATATTCTAGATACACACACACACACACACATAATCAATTGACTAGTAGTTTTTCTATAACTGTGATGTAACTGAATATCCACTAGGTGGAGCCAGTGGTCCACTCTTGATTAGACGCTTCACATAAAATAGAAATTTGTTTGGTAAAAACAGTAGGATAAATACATATGTAGGTAGATCCTCTGGGTCTTTTTTCTTGGTTGACTGAGACATCCCACGGACGCTCTTTTATGGGGTCAAATGGATCTGTTTAGGACAGCAGTAAAACGGGACATCTTTAAGAATACAATTACCTTTTTTGTTTTTAATTGACTGAGACATCCACTGGATATTCCATCCTCGGACGATTTGCGGACATTCCAGGACGCTGAGAGCTATTTTTAAAAGGTTAAAGGATAAACAGGTTTAAAAAAGTAGTTTCAAAGACACTTGGGGGACCCCATGTGTACATTCAGTTCCCTTGTGTGTAAGGGACCCCCTAGATGAGCAAACTGTTGACCATTAAAATATGGATAGCTGAGAAATCTTTCTAAAAGGGTAAACAGGTTTACAAAACAGTTGTTTTAAAGAAACACCACACACGCTCACACACACACACACAACCCAAAGAACCGGTGGCTCTTGTGTAGCGAGCGAGAGAGAGAGAGAGAGAGAGAGAGAGAGAGAGAGAGATAGAGAGAGAGAGAGAGAGAGAGAGAGGGGAGGGACGGAGAAAGAGAGAGAGAGCTGTAATTCATTGAAGGGAAATACAATTTTCTTTCAAACCTTTTATTTTCTTCTAAAATGTTGCTACAGAAATGGAAG